AACGACTTGTACAAAATATGTGTGTAAATAATATTTTGAAAATATCGTTTGATATTAGTAAAAAGAATATATGATAAAAAATATAGAGTTTAATTGAAAAATTTAAACGTGATCTTCGCAGGACTCTTCAAAATTAATAATTCCAAGCCGTAAATAATTATTACTACGATGTATCCCTCTTGATTTTATGTAACATTCGTTTGAAATATTTTTTGTATTTTGAACACTATGACGTGTATTTATTTAAATCGGACATATACTCTATAAGGTGTAAAAAGAAATATTTTTCTTAAGAATTTTATTCCAGATACATATGAGAATAATAAGGATCGATGCCAGAAAATAAGAAAAGAAGAGAAACGAAAAGAGACAAAGAATCTTCCACTGACCTATATTGTCAACCCCCAAAGCGTTGGCTTTACTCTCTTTTCCTTTTTCGGTTCTCATGCAGGTGTCGCCTGGACTTTTCCACCATTTATCATACAACATTTGAATTTCACCCTTTTCTTGAAGTTCCAAAATCGCCAGAGATATTTTGTCCCGCCAAGGAGATCCTACGAATACGTGTTACGAGATTACGTGACTACGATAATATTATTTCAGATTTCGTTCTTTCTTATCTGCTACTTTTGGATTATACGATGCTTTTTAGAAAAAAAAAAAAAAAGACATTTTTACCCATCGGTGTAGCTATTCCGTAGCCCTTGCTGTCTAGAAGACCACCGATTTGCGTGAGATTGCAGTCCCTTTGTACGATGTAATCCAGCATCGTTGACTCCATCAAGAAGGCATAATCTCCTTGAAGTACTCGTTGAATTCCTTCCTCGTATGTCGGCACGAATACAGAGGGTTTTCGATTCTCCATGAAACGCCACATCTTTTTATATGTCTCGATCATCGAATCCTTTTCGATATAGAATTAAAATGACGCTTAGTTTTCTATTCCGTTCTTAGTAAAAATTCATAGAAAGTAATTACATGTAATATTACCCTAAAAAAGGTCATCGTGCTTCCACTATCGAGAGTACCATAAGAAATGTCAGTCTGACTAGCTAGATCTTCAGCATTTTCAATCGGTGTTATCATCCTTTCGACAGTTAAAAATGCCGCCAAATTTGCGGTGTAAGAAGATATTATTATCAATGTGAAGAACCACCAAATCCCGCCTACTATTCGTGTGCTGGTGGCCTGTCAAATTAATTCAAATAATTATATTTCATTGAATAAATTTAAATAATATAAGAACATGAATAAAAGAAAAGGTTCCTGATACCTTTGGATTTAAATCGCTCCCTTGTTGCATAAGTGTTCCAATGGTGAACCAAAAACTGTTCGATAGAGAAAATTGATTTTCGATGACTTCTGGACCGACGTGACAAGGATAAGGATGATTCCACTCGTACGGACTGAATCTTGCAACGACGAACATCGTCACCGATACTAAGACGTAAGCTGCCAGGACGTATAGCCAAATCTCGATCGCCAATGGATTCATAAATGAGAATAATCGCGCAGGATGGCTGGTTGGCACCTGTCGAGCCATTTAGAACAAAGAAAAATATCTTCCCGAGAATAATTCAAGTTATTATACGAAATAAGCTAAAATCTCTTGTCCTGTTTAATCGTAAATACCAACAAAAAATATCGTTTCGTAAATCTTTTACAGTTATATACAATATAATACTTGGTGATAAATAAATTTGATCAAAATAGATACATTTAATTCTATAATAATGCGTTCTTGTAGCAGATTAATTTTCACTGATATACATATCGAAGGAGATACATATAATATCCGTGACCATTTTCATTTCATATATTATATCGAAAATCCCACACAATAAAATAATAACGTAAATTAATAGATACAATTGTTTCGTAATTAACAGAGAATTTTGAGACCGTTCTTTAGATTTGACTTCTCTGTTATCGATTCCCACGTACACGATATAATTAGAGATGACAAAGCATGCGAGAGAGAGAGAGAGAGAGAGAACAATTCAATGTTTCATGATTAGGAACAAGGGCAAAGAGGTGACATATATCTTATGTTAGCTATTATCTGTTCGATCACGATACTATATAACTTATTACGTTTTTAAAAGTATTTTAAGATGACCTAATAACATCCTTTTAAAATATTAGAAGGTCCGGGGAAAAGCAGATGCCTGGTTCCCGCGGACGCATCAGCGCGCAAATAGAATCGGTTGATTCAAAATTTAGCACTCCCTTTTCCTAATGGAAAAGAAACGGTAGTACTGTGGAAGAATGAAAGAGGGATCTTTCCAGATGGTCGGAGCTGAATTTAAGTCGTGAGAGAGAGAGAGAGAGAGAGAGAGAGGGAGAGGGAGAGAGATAGAAAAAAGATAGAGAGAAAGAGAAAGATCTAGGAAGGCATGAAAAATATTACGAGCTAAGAAGAAACTTTAAAAAAGAAAAAAAGTGCATCGAAGAATTTACTTTTGTTGCCAAATAAATCAAATGTCGGAAATGTACATAATTATCGCGAAAATATTTTCTATCGTAAAAAAGAAGAAAGAGATACGAGCATGGAAAATCGTAATGGGTAATCGACGTTCAGAGGATGATTAAAGGACACTTTGAGTAACCACATCTTCCAAGTAACATTAGCTATAATTAAGTGACCACCTTACATTAATTAGATGTCGCGCTCGCGGTCTAACACTGATTAGACAATCAAGGAAACTACAGGAAAAGGAAAAGGTAATTAAATAATCTAATTTTTTGACATTATCAGGAATATCAATATAATTTTAATCAAATTGACGATTAATAATATTAAACCAATGTATCGCTTGTTTCTTAAATATTTCGATAAATTAATAGTATCTAGCGAATGAAAATTTGATTAAACGATAGAATCGTTCGTCTGAAGCTACTCGATTGATTTTCCGATCGTTCGTCTATCTAGTACTTTAAAGGGAATTTTTAAAAAAAAAGAGAAAAATAAGGGAAATAAATAAAGCAAGAAAGAAAGAAAGGGAAAGAGAGAGAGAGAGAGAGAAAGAAGAAATAGGAGCGAACCTAATTCTCGTAAATTCTATTGAAACGGTCGAGTGAATTTTCCGTTAGACGCAAAGAAACGATAGATAGACGGAATAGGATGAAACGAAGCTCGAAACAGAAGTGACCAATTGCTTGGAATTGATGCACCCAAAACGCGTTATTTTATATTCGTATCGTCGATAGAAACAACTCATCCGAGTGTTCGATCTTTCGGTTGGTCAAAGTTCGAAAATGAAAACGTAATCGAAAAGAACAAAGATCGTTTATTAAATCATCGATGCGCCATCAGCTGTGCCTGCCATTAATTAGCCCGGCGACACGTGCATCCGCGAGTTACCGAAACGTGTGCATACGTTCTCGAATTCATGCTAGTGCTCACGATATTACTGTCGCATCGAGAAACTTCGAATGCACCGTTACACCCGATAGAAAGCGTTCATTCATTAAGAATTTAACAACGCATTTCATATCTCGACTCGAACGCATTCACCATTCGATTTTTCTCATTTCCTTTTCTACAATATTTTATCGAATATAGTCGTTCCCTATTTTATCCTTGATAATATTGAATATATAGATTGATAATATAGAAGTAAATGTTTTCAACTTTGGGTTTAAATAAGTTTTAAAACGTCGATCGTAATTTTCTTTTTTACGAGAATGCATTTTTAAAAAGCATCGATTGGTCAAAAGATCGACTAATATTTTCCACATGCGGGTAGAACCCGTATCGAGAAGGAAAAAAGGAAGATATAGAAGGAAGGAAAAAAAGAAACAAAGAAAGAAGAAAAAGAAGAAAAAGAAGGTAAATACGACTAATAAATGCAATACGAGGGTGAACCATATGCAAACGTTATCGATGAAAAGAGCAAAAGTAAGAGGATAAAGGGACATGGGAAAATGAAAAAGAAAAACAAAAAGAATAAAACAAAAGAAAGAAAAAACAAAAAGAAAAAAAAAAGGAGTATGCTTAGATAAGGGTGATGAATGTAAGCTTGGACGACAAAAAAATAGTAGAATGAAATATAAAAAGAAAAAGGGAGAAAGAAATAGTTGCAAAGAAATCAAGAAGCGAGAGCAACAATGCGGAAATCCGGATGAAGTAAAAATATGAGACTTAGCCGCCGGGTGCAATTTCCGATGGCGAGCCAGCCGAGGATTAAAGGGGTGGTTTATACTGGTTCCTTCCTTCTTTAAATACGACTCTCCTGGCGCATGTAACAAAGGTAATCGCTTACACGTTTCAAGATAAACTTCACGGATTTTTATAACGCGAGGCGATATTCGTCGTCCTAAAAGAAACGAACTTTTACTTCTTTCTTACCTTAAAAAGAATGGAGATTCCGAGATTCATGAAGGGTTTCGTAAAGTCTATGACACTCTCTCGAGCGTAATTAATCGTCATCGAACCCACTGCCAGATCGGCTTTCTGAAAAAAAAAATGTATATATATATATATATAATTGATATATATATTTCTAATTGAGAATTTAGATCGACAATTATTTTAAAACTATTATTTCTCTTTATGATAGAGTATTACTAAGTTATAAAAATTGTGTAACGGAGAAGATCTTTCTTCGATACATCGTATTCGTAGAAGTTTGAAACTAACCCCATAGATTATGTCTATAGCTTGGTCTACATCTAAATCGAAATACGAGGGAATATACAAACGCATGCAAAAGTATATTGCAAAGAAGAAATGAATTTATATAATCGTTCAAAAGTGCATGCTGTACATAAGTTTTTCTACTTCCTGCCAAACCTTTTTTTTCAATCTTCTTATCGTCGTCAGGATCCAAATGTACGTATCCTAGGATTATCAACTTGAAATTTATAATCATACTCGATGAAACATTTACGTTATATAAAAAAAAAAAAAAAAAAAAAAAAGAAAAAAAATCATAGAGTAATATTCAAAAAAGCAATATAACACTTGTAATTAATATAATTGGCTCAAGCATCGTTTTTTACTTTTCATTAAAAAATGACGATATTTAAATTGCTTATTGTAACGATACAACAAACATTATATATATATATTAAATAAAAATTTGCGTGCATGCGCTGTCACGATTAAAGCTGAGTAATAAAAGAATTTACTACATGATAAAAGCTCGTTTCATTTCGATAATTCGATCCTAGCGATCTCGTTTTTTTTTTCGTTCTTTCTTTCTTTCTGTCTTTTATTTTATTTTCTTTTATTTTTCGAATTCTTAAATATTGTTTTATTTCAAAGGTAATTTAAAAATCTTTATTTATCTATGTTTAAAACAAATATGATATTAGATAAAATAATGAATATACGACTCGCGAAGATCGGCGAATCGATTATTTGACGATAAATAATGTTGAGATACTTTATAGAGAATTCATTCCTTCTCTCTTAGGACATAATAAAAAGGTACGGAAGAGTCGAGTCTATTGAAAGTTACTTTGAAGCGCAATGAACGAAATGGAGATAGATAGGTGCGTGGATAGGTAGCGAATGAAAAGAAAGGGGAGGAAAAAAGAGGAGACGAGAAAGAGAGAAAGAAAAATAGATAGACAAATAGATGGATAGAGAGCTAACGAAAAAGAAAAAGAGAGAAGGAAACGAAAAGACAAGGAGGGGAGAGGATGGTTTGCAAAGTACGTACGCACTCTCGAGTTACCACTATATCTATGTATGTAACTGCTTTTTCAGCGTCTGAAAAAAGCACATGCTTTTCCGCGAAGCACTCGAGATACCGCTATACCACCGAGTCCTAGGTAAATTTATTTCTGCAGTTTTTGTCGATCTAGAGACTAGGTTACGTCTATATAAAGATACCCATCTCAATGGTTACTCGATAATGCAACAAAAGATTCTTTGCTGATTCTTTCGTTTCTGTTCTTTAAAGTCGAGTTTTTTCCATTTCACTTTAACACACCCACACACCCACACCAATACACCCACACATCCACTCAAACACACACACACATATATATATATATATGTGTAAAGGAGATATTATGAGGACGATATAAAATCGCTGATTCAAACGAATGCTATCCAGCCGAAGGATGTACGTATATCCTTATATTTTACAATAATTTTCTTTAGATCCTACACAAAAGTTGGAGATTTTACAAGGGTAAAGAGTAAAAAAATAAAAAAATAAAAGAAGAACAATTCAAGCTCGTATTTCGATTCAATTGAAAAAGATAATCGTGTATATCATGATGATGATGATAATAATCGACACGTTTTTATATACTATAAGATCTTAAACGTTTTAATTGTGATTTATTTCGTAGAAAGTGAACAACTGTGCCTGTTAGTAATTGCTTGTAATCAAAGAAACAAAAGTTTCGATAAGAAAGAATCGAGAGAATTGTGGAAGTAGAATGAAAGGAAAAAAAGTAAGAGAATTAGAGAGAAAGAGAGAGAGAGAGAGAGAGAGAGAGAGAGAGAGAGAGAGAGAGAAAGAGAGAGAACTTTGCGATTTGCAAAGCGTATGATTCAAAGCGCACATTGCTCACCTTGTCCATCAGCTGGCGTACTATTCCGTTCCATTCGCCGGTCTCGTAATCGTAAACGCCGTATTTGCCATCCGGCACGAGCTCGATCCTGTAGGTGAAGCCTACCATGTGTGCTATCTCCTTCAGCAGGTCGATGCAGAAGCCCTCGTAACGCTCGTTTCCACTGAAATTCCCTCTGTTCCTCAGCATTACGTACGGCTGCTCCTATGGAGGACCATAAAAAGGAGGCTACCACTTTCTTTTGTTTCTATCGACCTTCCTTCCTTCCTTCCTTCTTCCAACCTTTTTTTTTCTTCCTCTTCTTCTTTCTTTCCTTTCCTTACCGTTCATTTTTCACTTTTTCCCCTTTCATCGATTCTTAATATTTTCCGACGACTCGTCTCGATCCTTACGCGTTTAAAGAAGGAGGATATTCAAAAAAGTGATAGAAATAGAGAAAAAGGAAATGGTAGGAAAGAAATTAGAATGAATCGATTGGTCGAAGTGTTACGCCGTGTCTCTTTCGATAGCGATGTCGATCGACCGCTTAAATGGATTACTCTTCCACAAAGCTCGTTATGTTCAGTGGTAAAAGAGTGAGATAGATAGATAGATAGATAAATAGAGAGAGAGAGAGAGAGAGAGAGAGAGAGAGAGAGAGAGAGAGAGAGAGAGAGATAGAATGAACGTATATATGAGTGCATAGCGATCGAGAACCAACGTCGAACCAACACGTGAGATAATAAGTGCAAATATTCGTGCAATAATGCAAACAAAAATATTGTTAAGTAATACTTGTAAGAATATTTTCAAACAGATTTATTTTAATGAAATTTCCGTAAGAATTAATTAACTGCGCTCTTTCTTATATACGTCGAAGAGAAAAAAAAATTATCTTTGAAATATTTGAATGGAATCATAAGCGAGACGGGAAATGCAAATCACGTGAATATCCTGGCTTCTTTTCCCTTCCTTCAGGTTTATAACCTCTGACATTTTGCCACTTGTCTTCTGTCTCACACCGATTCGTTTAATGCTCTCGAGTATTTACCCAATCTTTCCACGTAGTACTCCTGACATTTTTACGATAAGTTAAAAGTACTTTTTCACGTGATCCTACCATCGTGACGAGTCAATGTTTCGTGACGAACGGTCCATACAGGAAGCTCGGTAGCAAAAATGGTCGGCATCGTTCAGATACGCGTATAAATCGAGAAGCGCTCGCACGAGCCTGTTCTTTTACTATGAACATAGAAAAAAGAAAGAAAAAAAAAAAGAAATAATAAAGAAAGAAGGAAAAAAAAATAAGAAACAAAAAAAAAAGAAAGAAAGAATGTACATTTTATCAGGCGAGTTTGTACATCAAGCTTTTGGACGGTGGATTTACTTATATTGGTGTCAAGCGATATATTTCTAATATCTAAATAGAGCATTTGTGTATTTACAACGAAGACGTATTATTGTTACTAATTTGTTTATATTATAATATCGAACGCAATTACAATATTAATGCAAATTGAAATAAATTAAACAGCTTTGATGACTCACCGTCAAAAATGTACAATTTTAGGTCCCAGCTTCTATCTCTTCGTTCCAGTTACGATCCTACGATATCAAACAACTACGAGAGCAATTAAACTTAGTAAACGGATCTCTTTTAGATTAGAGTGGAAATTAAATCTTAATAATTTTTGAATGGTATCATTGACGTGGACGCAGGTTTTAACTCCGACACTCTCGCACGCTCCTCAGAACTATGAGGAATAGCCAAGCGGAATACATAATCCATGGAAGGGGGTTGCAACAGTAAGGATATATATATATATATATATATATATATATATATATATCAATGCGGCAACACATGTGTCTTAAGTACATAGTACAATAATGTATAAAGTTTTATTTGCAAGATAGAAATTTAAGCAATAATTTATTAAAATCCGATGCATTTGTGAAATTATGAATTGTAGTCGATTTTTGTTAATGGCTTATACGTTATCTCGAGAATTGTGTAGTTTTTTGTTTTTTCATTTCGATTTCTTTCTGTTTTTTTGGTTACATTCTAACAGAGAAATATGGGAAAAGAGCACTACCAAGCATAGTCGATAAACGAATAAAAAGAGATAACAGTAAATTGAACGATACGGATAAACATCTACGTATAAAAAAAAACGAGGCAACATCAATCAACGATAATAAGTGCAATTAAATCGAGTGGTAAAATTAAGTGTATATATATGTATATATTGATATCTACTCGTTAGGTGAAGAATTACGAGATAAAAGAGATAGAAAAAAAAAGTAAATTTGGAAGAATCTAAAGGATATCTAAAGGTTAAATAAGAGCGATCAAAAGGATGATTCGAATAAAAATCGAAATCTAATAAATTAAACAAACCAAATCATACATGTCGCATGAGTTCTCTGACGATGCCGTTCCATTCGCCTGTTTCGGGATCTCTTGCACCGTACTTCCTGTCAGGTACCAAATCCAGTCGATATGAGAAGCCGACTTCCCTTGCCACCGCCTCGAGCAGGTCCACGCAAAAACCATAAAACCGCGAATTCCCGGTGTAGTTTTTTTCGTAGTGCATCATCACATATGGTGTTTCCTGTCCACGAATGATATTCATGCAAGAAAGGCAAAATTCGATTGTATCACGAAACACCATTTGTAACCCATTTCACGTAGGACGAGACGAGAAAAATAATACCATTTTGGCAGAAGAAATGAAATAAAAAAAAAAAAAAAAAAAAACATTAAACAAACAAACAAAAAACAAAAAGGAAAAAAAAGAAAAGAAAGAAAGAAGGAAAATACAAACTAAACGTATTTGATCATTGTGAAGAAACGAAAATCTTATTATATTTTACCTCTTCGATGTATTACGAACATATTTCAAATATCTGTATCGAAGATAAATCATTACCATATATTTTTGGGGATTTATTGAATAAGTAGACGATATATTAATTAGATATATAGTATAAATCAAATACGATAACTTACCAATATGGTGATCACTATCAGTGTTACATTGGCCGAACTAGCCTCATAAAATGCCGCAGTATCTGTGACGTTAACGCCAACACCGGGACGCCATTCTCCTACCTATTATCATAATTCAATAGTAATGTTAATAATAAAACTTATGACATGTACATTAAAACAAAAATATTTTTTCTTTCTTTCTCTTTTTAAATAGTACAATAGAGAGTTAAGCAGTAATGATCAAATTTTCAAAAGAAAAAAGTAAAGAGAAAAAAATATATATTGTTTTTGATGTTTCATTGATATGCAAAGTACTCGCACGAAAAAAGGCCAGTTTCGTTTCAAATAAATTATGTATTCTAAAGGGATTATTCGTAATATAGTTCCTACCTTAACCAACGAATGCTGCTTTAACTTTAGTAAGTCCAATTTAAATTGAATTCTCCGTCCTTCTTTAAATTCTATAGGACCTGAAATTCCTTTCATCTCCACCTGTAATATCGTAAAAAAAAGAATACGATCGTAAATTAATATTAAACGTTAATAAAAAGATAATATGCACATTAATTTGATTGTCATCGTACGAACATTTAAGGAAGAACCATTTAAAGCTTATCACATCGAGAGAAAAGTGATTTAACTTTGGATGGTGTGTAATCGAACCCTAACTCCGAAGATAGATTCTATTTGAAAGTCGATCAATCTTGAAGTTTTCTCTTCATCCACGTCTTTTAATGGATGCAAGAAAACGATAGTTTGACTAATTAAAAAAGAAAGAAAGAAAAAAAAAGAATCGATAAATGTACCTCCCTTTTCGACCAATTTCCTCGCAACATTTCAAATCGCACGTTATTCATGTATATTCGTTCATAAATCGATAAAGCAAAGAAGAACGAGCTTCCCTCATCATTAACGAAATTGCGAAAGGATTCAATGATGAAGCGAGTTCGTCAACGTCGATTTAATAGGAGAACGGTTTGGAATCTCGTTTTCGTGGTCGATTATAGGAGTGCCAGGAATGACGTTATTTCCGTTGAAAACTTTTCCATTGTTGGATTTTTATTATCCAACTTGTTTTATTTCAAGGAAATCAAGAATAAAAATTTCATGACTAAAAGGAACACACGGGCCATTTCAGGAATACACGATACAAAAGTTGTAAAATTTATTACGTGCCCGTTTCGAAAGCACATAGTAAAGATGATTTCAAAGATCATTGTTCAAAAATAAAACAAAAAATGTATAGAAAAATAAAAAAAGAAAAAAAGAGAGAGAGAGAGAAAAAAAAGAGTAATAGCTTATTTCCAAGATAAATATTTTTTTCTTCTTCTTTTTTTTCTTCATGATTATCATCTTATCTTCTTAGTGTTGTCGATTTCACGAGAAACGTATACTCGTAAATTCTATTGTTGAAGTTAGTTAGAAGAACGATAAAAAGCTTTCGTCGATGTTTCCAATGGCAGAGAGGAGAGATTTAATTAGAAGAAGAGTAAATGGCCGCGATGTAATCAGCGGGGGTTGCTTTAAAATCCGTAAAACTTTTCGATGGAATAGGAACGCTCGGAGGTTTTTCTCTCGTCAGCGACAAAGTCCGTCCTAATTCCGGCTAAAGCGTAAGTTACCACCGATACGCGAACGTGATCGGAATTTATTGCAATTGGAATGATTCGGTAGACACTCAACGTACCTTTCGGTTTACATTTACAAGACTTGCACGATCTTGTGTACGTACAATGATCGATGTGTGTATATATATATATATACACATACATATACACATACATATACATAGTATTGTAGACACATGTATGTGACTAACACGAGCTACTACTCTCTTGGGATCTTCGTGCACGGCATTTTCTCTTCTGCTATCGAAGGTGATAACAAACATCATAAATTGGGGAGTTATTTGCTTTCGAAAGAAAAAGAGCGAGAAAGAGAGAGAGAGAGAGAGAGAGAGAGAGAGAGAGAGAAAGAGAGAGAGAGAGAGAGAGACGTTCGACTCACCGTTCAAAATGTAGTTCTCATATTAGAAAAAGAATGTAGATTTTTGAGAGATATTTGACACGAGATAATATCTTTGTTGAATTGTTTACTTTTATGTGTCTGGTTATTTCCAAGAAAAAAAAAGGGGGATATGAAAGATAAGAAAACAAAAAAAGAAATTAAGAAATTTAATTATACGAAGAACGAAAGTTAATACCGATTCGCGAGTTGGATTAGAATTCCACGTATCCCGTGAAATAAAGAACAATAAAGAATAAAAGATAGCGTTCGTGGAACTGTGATAATTGTAAATTGTTATTAGGTTGGTCGTCTTTTGTCAAGGGAATCCACTTTTCGGGGAGAAACGTGGCTGGGTAAGCTCGCGCTCGTCTTTTGTCGTTTCAACAGACGTTCTTTCGTCGAGTGGTACCTATATCCTTCGCACGCGAGCAGAATATAAGAGAGGTTCGGCTTAAAAACGAAACGCAACTTTTCCGCGGATTTCAGTCCTCGAGTTTGTTTTATATACGTGACTCCACTCTGCCTTTTTTATTTATCTCGTTCACTCTCGTCTCATGTTCGCTATGAAATTTGCTGTTGCTGCTATTATTGTTGCTGCTATTGCTGTTTCAGCTATTATTGTTGCTGTTATTGCTGCTGTTGCTGTTGCTGCTGCTGCTGTTGCTGTAGCTAGTACCGTTATCCTGTTGAGTCCTCTCAACGTGACTTGACGTTTTGCATTCTCGTCATAAGGATCAAACAATATCTAATTTTATTTAGACCAATGTTAACATTCCATCATCGTGTTACAAATTTGATTAGAAATATAACGAAATGCTTTTAAAAATAAGAAAAAAGAAAATTGTAAGTTCGGGACTGTATCACCAGAGGCATAATCAACATAGAGAACAATAGCGAGTATTAATTCGCAATTAATAGAGAAACGATGGATCGATAAATCCATCATACATCGTACATTCGCTCCCTCTTTTTACTGTCCTCTTTCATTAATGCTATCATTACGTGCGATAATTCGTGCGTGTTATTTTAATAGGTTCTTTCTTTTATAATCAATACTAGAAATATACAAATGCAATTAGATTATTTCAATTTGTTGCATCGTTTAATGAAAACGATCGTATGCAATAAAATTATTCCAAATAATTTTTGCTTTGAAATTTATCGAGTTCAGCTTTCTTTGTTTAAATATTTTAATTAATTTGATAAAAGAAAAAAATTATTATACGTAGGTCAATTCACAATGATAATATTTTATTTATTATCAATTCGCCCTTCTTGTATCGTTCGAATAGAGAAGTGAAATTATTTCATTTTTATTATCATTGTGAAATTAATAAAAAATAATTAAGTCAAAATATTTCGTTCGTATATTAAAATTTAATTAAGGTTACCAGTATCAAATTTCATTATATTCGAAATAATAGATACTAGTATTTTGACGAAGAGAATTCACGGGCGAATTCGTGAATGTGTAAACCATTCACGTGGATTCGTTATAGGATACTCCTTCCCTTTCAAAGGTGATAGTATTTCGATGTCAAAATGAGAGGGAACAGAGGAGAGATGCGAAGAGTGTGAATCGTGTCGCGTGAATTTGAATTTACGATTGTTCGTCGAAGAATGAATATGTGTGTTTGTGTGCATGCGTGCAAGAGAGAGAGAGAGAGAGAGAGAGAGAGAGAGAGAGAGAGAGAGAGAGAGAGAGAGAGAGAGAGAGAGAAGAAGGAAGGAGAAAGAGAAAAAGAGAGACAGACATCGATCGAGACGTCAATGCGTACGAACGTAATCGTTGAATCGAGTCGAATTGTCCCATAGATAAAACCGCGGATTTCCATGAAAAGCATGAGCCTAAAAATCACGATGATAATAGCTAATATTCAAAGATCAAAGTCGTTACTGTTCATACATGTTCTCCTTCTCTCTCTCTCTCTCTCTCTTTTTCTCTCTTTCTCTCTTTCTTTTTCTCTTTCTCTGTCTGTCTCCCTCCATTTCTCTTACTCTTCCGCTTTATACAATCGACTTTTACAAAGTTCACATTTGAAAAGTTTACTTCAAGTGGGAGAATCACGTAATGGAGCAACGAAATGCGGACAGGAATATTCTGCGACATTTTCTGAAGTTAGGGAATAGTATAAAGGATAAGATGCATGTATCTCGAGAGTTAGGGAACTTAGGATAACATAGCAAGATCGTAAATTAATGCATACTCTCCAACGCGCATAGCTGGCCTAGTTAAAATAGAGAATTCTGAGCGAATTCGTGTAATAGCCAAGGACAACTTCCTCCTGTGTTTCGCTTACACGAGTGGTCATTAACTTCCTACCCCGTGTAACTAGGAGGGATTAAAAAGAAACTACGTTCTGGACGAGGACCGAATTACGGAAACCACGTAAACCGCTTAATTATTCTAACGTTGGTTTTTCTCTCTCTCTCTCTCTCTTTCTTTTCTTCTTTTTTTTCAGGAATAAGTAACTAATACTCGGTGCAATCAACTCAACAAATTTTCTTTCGTAATTGCAATTCTATGATATTTTTAGTAATATGAATAATCTTACGAAAAGGATTAATATAAATTAATTAAAGAATTTAACACATGTTATATACATCTTTAATAAGCTCATTGTGAACAATTTTTCTTTTCTTCTTTTTCTCTCTCTCTCTCTCTCTCTCTCTCTCTTTCTATAAATATATATATATATATCTACATATATATATATATATATTTATTTATTTATTTATGTATAAAATAATTTATTTATATGTAGAATAATTTCTGGTGAGACACTCAGTCTCATATTTTGTAGATACGATCCGATCTTGAAATATTTTTAATGGTAAAATTTATAATTATTAATAAAACTCATGAATCCTTCGTTTGTTTTCAATTAAGAAATTAAATAATTTATCTGTAATATAGAAATTAAATATTCTTAAAAATGTTCTGCCCGTTCTTTTAATCATAATTTACTAACTAATTATGAAAAAATAATTACTTCTGAATATAATGCATTAATATAGTATTTAAAGATTATACTTATAATCTTTATATTATAATGAGATATTGTTTTAACATTTTTGAAAAAACAAATGAATTATTATTACCTGATTTTCGAGATAGGTGGCTCGATTTTTTCGAGGATAGATGATCCATCGTAAATTTATACATTACTTACGGATATAGTGGATTTTAATTAATTATTTTGAATGATGAAGGTCTATTATATAGTTTCTCAAATGAAGAATAAATTTTCTCAAAGGAAAATAAAGAAACCTTAAATACCTGTTTTATCTGCTTATTCGCAAACAATAAATAAAAAAACTTCCATAGTAGACACATCAGACACAATGCTATATAAAATTAATTCAATTTCTAGTATACCATCAAAGGGGAGTTCAACGAATTAGAAAACATAAGAGACATTTCAAGCAGCAAAAATAACAAAACGTGCCAAAAATTCAGAAAGTACAAACGTAAACGTGTCCCT